GAGAGAGAGAGAGAGAGAGAGAGAGAGAGAGAGCGATACAAGATTGGTTGTGGTCCAAGAGGAAGTGGCGGCCATAGCCGCGGAGCTCGAACACGGAGTGACGAAGAAGGAAGGAGGAGACGTAGACGGGGAAGAAGGAAGGAGGGACAACGAAGTTATAGACAGACAAAGCCGAGGGTGAAAAAAAAAAGAGAAAAAAAAAAGAAAAAGGAAGAAGAAAGGGGCGAGATAGAAGAAAGGCGAAGAAGGTGAAGAGAAGGGAAGTTGGCGAGGAAGAAAGTGTCGGCAACCATAATTGACTTGAGGGTTGACCTCGGTGTTGACCAAGAGTTGACCGGGTGTTGACCAGAGGGTTGACGAAAGCGTTGACCAAGGTTTGAACACGTTGATCAAGCCTTGACCAAGGCGTTGACCGGAGCTGTTGACCACGACGTTGACCAAGCTGGAGTTGGTATAATCTCGCCAGGCCCTTAGCCTATCCCCTCGTCCTATGGATGTACACTCACCCTATGGTACTTGCTGAGTCTGAATTTGTCCGTCTCTTCTTTCTGCATTGAGTCTCTTTTGTCCAGGTGATAGGACTCCGTGTATGAAGGATAGGGCCTCGTTGACCAAACCCGCACGGGCTGAGTAGGGCTAAAGGCTGTGTCTGACGACTCGACTGTCCCGGAGGACACAAACCCTCCCAACGAACGGTACTGACCAGCGGGCTGCTCGGCGTGGCACAGTAGGCCCAAAATCCGAGATGTGGGTTGCACAACGGGCCGTCTAAGTCTTGAAGAACCTGCTAATCACATTGTCCGGTTCGCGACGTTAAAGAATTCCTGAGGAGTTACGGGGGATCTCCTTAAATGCCTCCTCATCAGCAATAGGTTTTATAGTGACGGCTGTAGTTTAAAGTCCAGGTTAGAGACCATAATTGGTAGGGTTCTATACGGAGCCTGTGGTCCGTAGACTGAGTTGGTCTTAAGTTGAGTTAGTTACGGGGAGAGTCTAAGTGGTGAGGAGTGGAACCGTTACTTGGTTGTGCGTCTATCACCATGGTTGACACGCGTACCAGAACGAGCACCTCCCCTTACACAACAAAGCAGGATGCGAAAGCCGCGGGCATCCTGAAGGAGAGAAGGGAGAAGGAGGCCAAGAAGAAGTCCTTGCCTGAGGAATCGGCGGCGAAAAAGGAGACGGTTGAGGAAGAGATGGCAAAGGAACTGGAGAGGTTGAAAAAGGAGGAGATGAAGAGGTAGAAGAACAGCCACTGGAGAGGAGAAGGACAAGAGGAAGAGGAGAACCCCGTGGTGTGAAGGAAGACCCATTGGAGAAGATTACGAAATGGGTGGCCAATTTATCCTTGGGAGAAGAGGAGGCGAAATTAATGTATGTAGCCAGGGAAGAGTAGGAGGTGGCCATGAAAGAGTGGGATGCAGAGGAAGACCCACTCAAGCGGCAGGCCATAGAGGATGGAAAGAGGATGGAGTAGAAGGTGCGACAGATGACGGAAAGGAAAAAGAGAGTGGACGCAGTGAGCCAGGCGGCAAGGGAATTGGAAGATGTAAAGAAACAGGGAGAGCAAATGGCGGCACAGGCGGACCTGTTGGGGAAGATGCAGATCATGGCGAGGAATATAGAGCGCCTGACCCAGGTCCAGGAAGAGCAATATTAGTTTGGTAGGAGTTAGGACATAGCCCTGCGATCCATACGGCTGGGATTCAGAGACTTCGCACGTGAGTTAGTGATGCAGGTGGGCTCAGAGGTGAAGGCCTGCCTAGAGAACAAAGAGCGTTATTGCACGGGCGCCATAGAGGGCGCCAGGCTGGCTGCACCCAAGGAAGAAGAAGCACGTCCTTGTAGGGAGCCTGTTAAAGTGAAGTTCCCCGACTCCTATAGTGGAAAGGAGGAGGAGAACTTCGACAATTGGGAAGCCAGTATTAAAATGTATTTGCACTTCTAGAAAGTCGCCCCATAGTAAGTATCCTCGCAGATAATCGCACGATGCGAGTAGAGGATTACGTAGAGGGAGTCCAGGCGTACTTCCGCCTAGAGAAAGATGGGAAGGTGGAGAGAGTTCTTCATTCCCTGACTCTCCTCGTAGAGGACAACCTTCGATTTGACATAGTCCTAGGAATGGACTGGGGAGAGGCAGCAGGGGCCACACTCCTTCTGACAGAGCATGAGTGTAGGTTACGTAGTCCATCAGGCGAGGTGAAGACTGCTCGTCTGTTTCATGTGTCAGGAGTAGACAACTCCTTAGCACATTGTTGTCTTAGCGCTCCTGCATTTGCGAGGTTAGTGAAAAAGGAGCAGCTAGAAGAACAGGTTTTTGTAGCCTACGTTAGACCTGTTACTGAGCCTAAAGAGGAAAAGCCCATAGATCCCGCTATTGCCAAGCTGCTGGAAGAGTTCACAGATCTAGCTAAGCCTCCAACAGGGGTAGTTCCGCAACCCATCGAGCATCGCATTGAGATAGAGCCTGGCAGTAGGACTCCTAAGGGAGTAGTGTATAGGATGTCCCCGCGGGAGTTGGAGGAGCTGCGCAAGCAGTTAGATGAACTATTAGAGAAAGGTTGGATTAGGCCCAGATCGTCTCCATTTGGAGCACCTGTTCTATTTGTCCCCAAGGAGGGAAAGCTTAGAATGTGCATTGACTATAGAGTTCCTAATGCTATTACAGTGAAGAATGCAGAGCCACTGCCCCATATAGATGATCTGTTAGATCGGGTGCAGGGTTGCAAGTACTTCTCGAAGATAGATTTGAAGTCCGGATATCATCAGATAGAGGTTCAGCCTGATGATCAGTATAAGACTGCATTCCAGACTAGGTATGGCCACTATGAGTTCATAGTTATGCCCTTTGGACTAACCAACGCGCCAGCAACTTTTCAGTGTTGTATGAATGACTTATTTAGGTCGTGGTTAGATAGGTTTGTAGTAGTCTACTTAGACGATATTCTAGTGTTCAGTAGGACCCTCCAGGAGCATGAGGGTCATCTGAGGCAGGTCTTGGAGAAGCTGAGAGAGGCTAACTTCAAGATCAACGCAAAGAAGTGCGAATGGGAAAAGACCCAAGTTTTGTATCTAGGCCATGTCTTAGACGGAGACGACATTAAGCCAGAAGACAGCAAGATCGCAGTGATTAGAGATTGGCCTACACCCCACACGTTGACAGAGTTGCGGTCGTTCTTAGGCCTAGCTAACTATTACGAGAAGTTTGTGAGAAACTTCTCCACCATCGCTGCACCCCTTCGCAGGTTGCTGAAGAAAGAAACAACCTGGAAGTGGGTCAAGGACTGCATGTCTAACATGAAGAAATTGAAGCAGACATTGATAGAGTACCTAGTCCTTAAGGTCGCTGATCCGTCCTTACCTTTCATCGTCACTACTGACGCGAGCCAGTATGGTATAGGTGCAGTATTACAGCAAGACGATGGCAGTGGATATAGACCCGTAGAGTTCATGTCTGCTAGGATGCCTTCGGAGAAGATAACGACATCCACCTACGAAAGCGAACTCTACGCTCTCAGGCAAGCGTTAGAACACTGGAAGCACTACTTGCTGGGGAGGCACTTTAAAGTCTATTCAGACCATGAGACGTTACGGTGGCTGAAGACTCAGACCAAGATGACACCTAAGCTTTCTAGGTGGGCCGCAAAGTTAGACCAATATGATTTTGAGCTCAAACCAGTAAAAGGAAAGTATAATGTAGTGGCGAACGCTCTGGGTAGGAGAGGTGACTACTTTGGAGCAATAGTTCACTATTTGGATATAGGGAGAGACCTGCAACAGAAAGTTAGAGAGGCGTATGCGCAGGACCCTATCTATAGTGACCTCCTCAAGAGAGTAAAGGAGGCCCTTGAGTCCGAACCAGACTACCGAACTATTGATGGACTGCTATTTGAGAAGACTAACTTAGTTGATCGATTGTGTGTTCCTAATAGTGTGGAAGTCCGTAGTCTGATCCTAGGGGAATGCCACAATATTGAGGGACATTTTGGTTGGCAAAAGACTCTAGCTAACCTCATGCGCGCGTACATATGGCCTGGGATGAAGGCCGACTGCATAGAGTATGTTCGCAATTGTAAGGTCTGCCAAATAAACAAGACCTCTACTCGTGCCCCTCTAGGTCTTCTCAGACCCTTGCCTATTCCTGACCAGCCGGGAGACTCAGTGTCCACCCATGTCAAGAGTAGGCACGACAAGGTCCAAGCCGTGGTTATAGTCGATAGATTTAGCAATTATCTTGTTTTTGTTCCTCTGTCTGCGAAGGCACGCACAAATTTAGTAATCGAGAAGTTCTTTGATCATTGGGTCAGTGAACACGGGAGTCAGCTGTCTATAGTCAATGATAGAGACACCTGTTTCACTAGTCAAAACTGGCAAGAGTTGATGAGAGTCTATTGGTCTAAGTTGTTGATGTCATCTGGCCGTCATCCAGAGACTAACGGTCAGATGAACAAATGAATAAGATCCTGCACAAGTTCAGCGTATGTACATTAGACCAGATCAAGTCCATCGGGATGAGATGCTCCCGAAGGTAGCCAGTGCATATAACAATAGCGTGCATCTAGCCACTTGTCGCACTCCTAACGAGTTGCATAACTCTTTCAAACCACGTAGACCATTTGAAGGACTTGACCGGGACCAGATTCAGAGGCTACCGCCCGGAACTAGGGAGTTTGCACTTCAACACGAGAAAGAATTAACTACCGTTGTTGAGAACCTCAGGAAGGCCCAACGTAGAATGATAGAGCAAGCCAACAAGCACCGTCACCCGTCGCAGTTTCAAGTAGGCGACTTAGTCTGGGTCAAGTTTAAAGAATTTGCTCCTGAGGAGAACATTTCACTGAAGCTATTGCCAACGTACAGGGGACCGCGGCCAGTCCTAGAAGTCAAGGGTGGAGAGGATGGACCGATACAATAGAGATCCCAGCACACCTCCACACCTACCCTGTGTTTCACGTTTCAAAGTTGCTGCCTTGTGTCACGAGCCAACAGTTTCCATCAAGAAGATCCATGATCCCCCCGGACATGGATGGAAGATATGACATTGAGGGCATTGTAGGTGAAGGTGTCTTCAGAACAGGAGGTAGAGGTCGTGCTCAGAAACAGTACAAGGTTCGATTTGCATATCAAGAACCGGTCGACGATCGCTGGTACACACGAACAGAACTTCTAGACTCCGCTCCCGATATAGTTCGCGCCTATGAGAGAGACAAGAAAGGTAAAGGTCCTGCCTTTGACTGAAATATTCTCGGAGGACCTCGAATTTAGGCCGGCGGGAGTGAAACGGATTCCACCTTTTGCAGTAGCCGATGCAGATCCCAGGGCTCGATCCCTAGTCCTCACTTCACCTGTGTACAGTACCTGAGTCGACCCTGAGAGTTGAACCCGTGACTTAAGTATTCGCAGTAGTTGGTGGGCTGTCGTAGGTCCGTAGGTTGTATGGGTTCGATCTGTAGACCTGTCGTTGTAGGTCTTAGCAGGTCCTAGGAATCGTAGCTGTAGCTCCTCCGAAGGGTCAAAGTCGTAGCTGCTACGGTACCGGAAGGCCGAGTCTACGGACTTCCGGAAGGTCCGGAAGTGGCCTTTCGGAGCTTGCTCACGTTTAGACAGAGGCAAGTGGGCAAGTGGCGAGGCCAGCTGCAGTACGTCGGCAGTGCGACTGCAGCGAGTTGGCAATACGTCCCCATGCAGTCAGTGGTATCAGTCCCAGTCAGTCAGGGTCCAGTCAAGCAAGTACCGTGTGGGATGGTGTGCACCCAGGGCATGGGAAAGGGGCAGACCAACGAGCTACAGAAGTATAAAGCAAGAGGCAGTGACCAGTCATTCATTCATTTGCTGTGTAAGCCATGCGGAAGCGCTGCTACAGCGTCTTGTGCGAAGGTGGTCTGCAGGGTGCCCGAAGGCGAAGTGGGCTGAAGGGAGATCGTAGCCATAGTCAGTAGTGGTAGTGCGGTCATAGCCGCTGTAGGTAGTGAGATTAAGTGTGTGTGTGGTGGTATTCACGGTGATCCAGAGTGCGCGTGTGTGAACAGTGGGGTTGGACACAGTGACGAAGGTTGGGATGTTCAGGCGCCGATGTGCCATATCCTGTTAAAGTGAACTTTCATCTGAACTGTGTTCTTGATTTCCATATCTCTAAGCTTTGAGTGGGCGCCCTGCGCCAGTGTGAATCTCCATCTGTTTGCATGTATGTGAAGTGGAAATGAAAGCGAGTCTGATTGCACTTTAAACCCCTTTAGCCCCTTTATATTTCATTTACACTCCCCTTTCGCCCCCTTGACAGCCAACACTCAAAAAACGAAAAGAGCCCGGATTTGGGCTCCTCTCGGAGAGCGCGGAAAAAACGAAAAGAGCCCGGGTGACCGGCCGGTCATGAAAATCTTCCTAGGTGAGGAATATTTTTTGTCAGAATTGATCCTGAACACCATGACTGGTGGAGAGAGAGAGAGAGAGAGAGAGAGAGAGAATGAGGTGATAAGTTTAAATTACAATCTTTTGTAGTACAGACTGGGTGAGGAATGCTAAATCTGTTCAGTTGTTGACATGTTAAGAGCTTACCAGCGTGCATATAAATGCTGTGAATGTTATTGCCCAGGTTCGTAGGTGTAAGCAAAGTGGATCTGTGTGACCACTCTACAGGTAGATGGCGGCACTCCATCGATTTGGATCTTTATCCACACGATTGTGGAATCTGCCACGGTCTCAAGTTTCTTGACAGGTGAGTGTTTTTTTTTTTTTTTTTTTTTTTTTTTTTTTTGGTTGTGTTGGTGGACTCTTGCGACTGGTATTTCTAATTGAGAAAGTAGGGTGCATCCCGTCTTCTTCTTCATCGAGAATGTAGGGTGCATCCTATTTTCTTCTTCATCGAGAAAGTAGGGTGCATACATGTTCTTTCTGACGCAGTAATGGCAGTATGACACTCGCTCATGAACACCTTTCTTCTTTTCCACCTGCACTACTCCAGGTTTTTGTGCTGTAATGTATAAGGATTCAGGTGTAAAAATGGAGGTGTAGCATGCATACCTCCTCTGCAACGTAGAACCATTCACGCATTGGAAAATGAGGAGGCATATAAAGCTGCTGACATTGTCATCCCAGACTCATTCACACGGAGAACCTGATTATTTGCATTCGTCCTCTCTTTCCCTCTTTTCTCTCCCTCTCCGTCCTTATCTATCCTCCCATCCCTCCCTTCCGGCGACTTCCCCCTAGCTTCCCTGCCTTCCCCGCCTTCCCCGTCCGGCGACTTCCCCCTAGCTTCCCCGCCTTCCCCGCCTTTCCCGTCCACCCTCCCCTCCTCCTGCCCTTCCCTCTCTCTCTCTCTCTCTCTCTCCCCCCTCTTTTCCTCTCCTGCCCTATGCCCCCTATGGAAGTATGCTAGCTGCAGCTTGCAGATTTCTGTCGTTGGGTTACCACATTTTCTCTGAGGGCCTGTGGTGGTAGCATCTGTTTCTATGTTGTGCTCTTCACAGGCCACTGTCAACCATTTTGTAGGTGGACTGCCTTTTTTTTTTTTTTTGTGCACTCCCTCTTGCAGACTGGAAGGTTCTTAAGCTTCTCCACTTGCTTGATGTCTTCCTCTGTTGCATGCTGGCTCATGAGCTGCTGACAACGATTGCTGTCGTTTTCAAGGGATGCCACACTCCGCCGCTTAAACCATCAGTACACCTGGGTCTCAAGACTTTCCAAGCCGCAAGCAGCACACATTTTTCTTTTTTGGCTGGCGCCGCTAGCCATTGTGGTCCAGTAGCCCCGAGCCGCAAAAATTTGGGAGTTGGCAACTTGCGATTTTCTACAAGTGGAATGAACCTAGACTGGATGATACTCATCAGACGCCGAAATGCAAGTTTTACTCAGATCTCCACAAAGTCTCCAATAATCATGAAAGTGATCTCCGATACCAAGTCTCGTTACCAATAGACGAAGGGAGTGAAGGGGGAATAGACAATCAGAGGGTGGAAGAGAGAAGCAATGACCATCAAGAGAGTAGCCCAATATTACCCACTTCTTCTCCGGGCTTCCCCACGCCTCCACGTCATCAACAGTATCCAGGAACGAGTCAAGAAGTCCTGATCACATAGAAGTGCCACGTGGCACTTCTCTCTCGTGCAGACAATGAAGACAATCATCAGCGCTCAATATCGACGTCAACCTCAGGTAAGTATCCCGTTCCTCAATCATCCACAGAAGATGGAGCTGGAGCTATGGCGCCACACGTAAGTACTGCTGGCCTCCGCCAGCCATCTCCCTCCACTGCAACTACTACCACCTACTAGCGCCCAGCGCTGAAGACTACAGCTATGGCTATGGG